TTTTTTCTAGCTTGGAAAGATGAAATGGATATTGCCCGAATAGGGGCTGATCCACGATCTTCCTACTATGAGTCTGATGGACATAACTTTAGTAACTTTATCGACTAAGTCACCGTTGTCAAGCATGATTGAATGGCAAGCAAACACGTTAATACCCAGACTGAGAATTACAAGTTGATATGCTAAAGGATTCTGTAGCAATTTGCACTTAAGTGTGATTTTAAATGAACTTCGTGCTCGGTTAACCATTCAATGGAAAGTTTGCAAAAGAAACGAAATCATAAAGGTTTTATGTCGAAGTCAGATGCAAGCTAGAAAAGGCTATGCCAATTATGTATAATTATTTTTGATATTTCATGGATCTGCGATTTAAGAAGTAAGGCAAAAATTATTTGCAGCAAGCCGTCTCGATCATTTTGCGCAACTTGTTGGCTTTAAGGTGAAGTGAGTTTCTGTAGGTTGTTCAATTACGTCTTCCAAGGGCAAATAATGATCGATCGCCCATTCAGGCAGAACAAATTTTTGTTGTATTCGAAGTTCTCATTGAAATTGTGGAAATATGCGCGGAATTCGTGCTACTTCTGGTGAAAAAAGACAAAGCCTTGACATACGGCGAAAGTTCACACAACGTCGTAACCTGTGTTATTCCATGAACGATTTGACAGACAGCAAATCCAGCGGTTCTTACAGGAGTCGGTGAAGAAAGCACTTACGGCCAAAACTCAGCTGTCATTATTAAGGTTAATGAAATCAGTCTGCATGTTTTGCTTTCAACACTAATCACTTGAACACCTCTGGCATTTTTTGTATGCAAAATCTGAATGTCGTAGGAAGATTCTCAGAGTCAAATAAATCGCTTTTGTCGCCTTGTAAGCGAGAACGAAATCGACCTGAGACGATAAAATACGAATGCATGGAAACAATTTGATCATTAACCAAAGTGGCTGCTGATGGACATTCCAGCCATCCGCTACACGCAATGTTCCGGAAAGCCATCTCGCCATATTCGGAAACTAGTTGCACAATCGACACCATCCGAAGCCGCGCGGAGTTGCACGCCGGTCAGCGTTGTCCTCTATTTCAAAGTCACTTAGCGAGCCGAAAAAGCAGAATAAATTTATTGTAAATAGCCTCAGTTCGCGAAAGCGAATTTGAGGGCGAAGAGGACGTTTTTTGTGTATTACCTGATTCAGTTTCGTTAAAATAGACGAAAAGAACATATGCAAATAACTCAGACTCAGTTGCTTAGCATCTTCATTACCGAATTCACTCCAACTAGCTTTCTGCTAGCTACTTCAGCACTCATCGTCAATACTATACATGTGTCCCAGCAACTTTTGACCGGCCGGGCATGTTCAGCTAGCAATTATTTGTTACGATTCTAACCTACGGAAAACTGCTAGATAAGTCAGATGGAACTGTAGGCGATATCTAAATTTCTACCTTGTCTCCAAATACAAATGCGGTAACCCCTGCACTTTCTCTAAGGCACTACCTAGTTACTTTCCGAACAACCTACACTAACCGATAGTTCTAGTCGTCTATGAAACCAAGACGCCGAGACACCTCTCGTGGACAAGAAATGCATACAAAACTTGTTGATCGACCAATTATTTAAATGATAGTTAACTCCGCTTAAACTCCGCCGTTGCCGGTCCCAAGCCCGGTTGTGAAAGGAAGAGGGTTGGAGACCGTCGCGATGTCTCCGTTAAAGTTCGCCACCTCACACCCATGGTATTGACCCCATCGAAAATTATACCGGCTCGGTCGTCGCCCGGGTTACCAAGGGCCGCGCAGGCTGTTGGGGGACTGAGGCAGACTCCGAAAAGTAGGCGATCAGAACCTGCTCACAGCCCTCTGCCAGCCGGGGCGTGACAGCACAACGACGGCTGACGAAGACCGACGCAACGACGACGAAGATACCAGTCAGCAACGGAGTCACTCCCCATTCTGAACGGAGGAGGCCGACAGCCCGATGTCATTGTAGCACGTCAGAAAAGACTCTACAAGGACGATACTGTTAGTGTGAGCCTACGGTCGGAAATTTCAACATGCCTCACCAAAAAAAAAGAATAGGAGCTATTTAATTAGGACGCAAGGCACAAATAGATATAGTTTGACTCTCCTCAACGAAGAGCCAAGTCTCTGTAATTCTGAACCTCTGCGCTGGAAGCTGTTTTATTGAGGTGTCGACATGTCGATGGGTTTAGGCCGGTGTTCGTGTTCCAATGGAGCCCAACCTCAGTGATCGAATTATTGAATGTAGGTCTATCATTGGAAGATCGAAAATTCTCCAACTGAGTCTACAATGAGTCTACAACATGTGAAATTTCCACTTTGTTTCAAAATCCAATTTGAGGGAAAACATGAGTTCTTCCTCGAGGAAGTGAAATGCGCTCCATTGGACGAAGCACCGACCTCATTTTAATGGCTGATTTCAATGTGCATGTCAAAGCAGACACTGAAAGATGTAAAGGGTGATTTGAAAGAACAGTACTAGTGACCTCAACAATAACGGTATGAAGTTGTTGCGACTTTGTGCAGGCGACGGACTGTCTATTATGAACACTTTCTTCCAGCATGGAAGCTTGCATCAAAATACCTCGTACGTGGAAGCATGTGCACGGGAGCCGATGATCGATTTGAAAATCTTATCGTCTCATTTACGGCGCTCTGCAATGGATGTTCGCCTTAAGAGAGGAGCAGAATTCTTAACCGACCGCCATCTTCTTGTTAGCACGCTACGTTGTGAAAAACTGAGTATCATGCGACGATTTGGTGGCAGAAGCAATAAGAGAATCAAATGGGGAGCATATTTTCAGCGAATTCGAAACTTTCACAAAACATCACATGATGGTTTGAACATATCCTGCTGATGGCCACTGATGTGGAAGCCAAGTGAAATATGTTTATGAGCAACGTACTTGGAACTTCCGCTGAATGCTGCGGATTCAAAGATGTTGGCCTGCTTCATGAAGGTCAAAAAAGAGCATCCTGGAGGACACGAAGGTACAACTGGCAGTCAAAAACAAGAAGGCCGTATTCAAAAAATGAGTTGGAAACAAACAGCTTTCCACCCACGTGCGACATGT